TAGGGCTGAAGGACTGAATGGGCCTTCGGTTTGAGGTCTGGGATCATAGGCGGAGGGTGGCTGGGGCACTGTGCTAAGGTCTCTGCCCTCAGCTATGGAGCCTGGTAAGCGACCTCAGCTATGGAGCCTGGTAAGCGACCGTGACCCCGTATCACTCCTCTCTTGAGCAGCTGAAGCAACACCATTCCCTCCAACTCCATCTGTGGTTATACACCCTAAGTAAAATGCCCAGCAGGTGGCAGGCACTCACACGCACATACACACATAGACACACATGCACACATATACAAGTACACACACATATATACAGCCAAACATGCACATGTGTACAAATGCAAGCACACACATGTATAGACACATGTATACACACATGTAATGCAATGTGCATGCACACATGTATACACATGCAAACGTGCACATATACAAATGCATACACACCTGCACAAACACACTCATACACATATACACACATGCAAGAACACACACATATACACACACACACACACACACAAGCCTTATTCCCTCCCACAGGTTCTGGAAATGTCTTCCTAAGGGTGACGGGGTCCTTTATCTTGGTCTCTTCTGTCTATGGAGTATATACATACAGCTCAGAGCTGCTGGAAAGGCCAAAAAACGTGACAGTCACGGGTAGGCTTTGGGAAATAAAAAAATAATGATTTCTAATGCAGTAACTGCCTGGAAAAGTGTGACCATTTTACCAAGTCCTCTGGTGTACACTCTGGGCCAGGAGGTGGCAGATGCGCATCAGAACGTCACTCACTGGATTGGCCATCATGGTATCACATCACAGATCTGGGCATCCTCAAGCACAGGAGGGCCATGCTCCACCTCACCCCAAGAGGCCCTAGGTCCCTCACTGAGCCATTTCCTGCACGTCCTCTGTGACTTGTTAAGGATACACACAGATCCTCCAAGCATACTCCCCACCTAGACTAGACCCATTGTTAGGGGAGGTCCCACTACGTGCCACAGAGATGTTAACTTAGAATTAAGAACAGAAGTCAGACTCCGTGTCAGAGCCTGCAGCCTCTCCCACAGGCAGCTCCTTGTGTCCCAGGAAAGGTCCACTAACTTCGTGTTCATCTCATCAGCTGCAGACAAAAGAACCAGGCACCAGCCTGGGGCTCACCATTTGCACACACTCCACCAGGGGCAGGCGCACGGCTTGGTTCCCATTTAGTGACACAACACAGGCCGGGGTCTCTGGGGTGGCCTGGAGAAGGGCGACGACGGCCTCCACCCCCATGCGACTGGCCTGGGAACAACATCAGAAGGGTAAAGGCAGCCCTCCCAGCAGGGGTGTCCACAAGCAGGGGCCCTGCCCCACCCAGGATGGGCAAGTCCTGCCCTAAACTTGCCCAGCTCCCCACCTGCTCTCCCAAACGAGGCGCAGCCCTTCCACTTACATCCAGCCCAGCTCTGACCTTCCCCTGCACGCCCTGCCTGGATGCTGCTTAGGGGGTTAGCAGCCAGGAGCTGGACTCCACTGCCCAGGTCTGTCTCTGTCTACACCCAGAACACCACCTTTTCTACCTTCCAGGTGTTACATTCCTGGAGACCCCGTCACCCTCAGCTTCCCATGTGGGATGGGGTTCCCAGCACCTGTGGGGCTGGGGCCCTGAGACTGTGGCAGGCTAGCAAGTCTCCCAGTTAGACCTCAGCTGCCAGCCTCTCAGGTTGAGCCAGCCTGCCCCTGGCAGAGGCTTCTCACTGGGAGGGCGACTCAATGGACGGCCAGTCCTCCTAGTACGTGGGGTCCCCCCAAAGCATGGAAACACCCCTTTCCTGGCAAAGATGCCGACAGCGCCCACCCTCACTCACCAAAATCCTATCGAAGGCTGACGGGGTCCCACCCCTCTGCACATGTCCAAGGATGGTCACCCGTGTGTCATACCCCAGCTGCGTGACCACAAGCTGCAGGGAAATACCTCCATCAAGACACAGAACAGGACACTATGAGGACATGGAATGGGAGCTGGGAAAAGGGCTCCCTACACTTTCTTCAGATATACACGGAAGAAATATTCTAGGTTCTAAATGTCTCTTCCTGAAAGAATGTTGTTTACTGGCAAGCTGGACTTTTGTTTCTTAAGAAGAATGTTTTATTAAGGAATGATTTTTGTCTCTTCTACCTTGCAAATGAGTAAGAAACATGATTTTTTTAAAAAAATACTGTTTCCATAGCTTGTACTTAAAGCCTTAGTACTTTATAAAAATGTAAACATTTCCCCGAATCACCTTAAATTTCTGTAGCTGTATGAGAAAAGCAGGACATGCCCTCAGGCTGGGTGCACATGAACACAGGCCACCTGTCATCCCCAGGCTTCACTGACTCTTCAAAAGTCATGGGGTTTTTTAATGAGTTCCACGGCCCTCTTCCTGATCCAACTTTGGTTAAGCAGGAAGAAAATCTTCCTCTGTCCTGATACTTGTAAATCATGACAGCTGTCGTGGATGTGTTCCAGTGAGTGAATACTGGGCGCACAGCTGGCTGGCCCAGGGATCAACAGGGCGAGCCCTCCACCCTGATCTGCCTGCCTCAGTGCCTGGCTCCCCAGAATTTTGTCAGGAATGTGCCCAGTCACCTGCCTGGCTGGGGGCCTGGTGTCCGGTCCCATCACCCATGGACCAAGCCCTGGGACAGGGAGGCTGCTGGGGGCCCTCTGCAGGGTTGGGAAAGGCTGTGACTGAAGTCCAACGATGCACCTTTCCTCACCAGATGCAGCTGATGCTCCACGCAGCAGGCACATTTCTCTGAGCCCCAGGCTCCACCACCAGGGCTGGCCCTCCTACTTTCAGGGTGCTGGCCCCCCCCAATCCCGCCCTGCCCACTTCTCGCTCCTCTGTAGGAGCCGGGCCGCAGGGAGCAGGCCCCGCAGTGAACACCAGCTCTCCCCAGTGAGGAGCCCTTGACTCTCATGCCATTAAGTTATGAGGTACTGTGAAAATGTTTTTAAGTATCAGGAAGAACAAAAAATATCTTCCCAATAACAATGTGATGTTCCCAAGCCAGTCAAGTTCACCTGTGTCCAGGTAGACGAGGGGAGGTAAAGGGTCGGACACACTCACCTCCTTGATTTGCTCAGATGTAATAGGTCTATTTTGGGTGTCGATTGCTCCTTCAGCCACAATGATGATGTTCAGTCTTTTTTTCCGGGCACGGTTCTAAGGAGACAGATCATGAAACGCCTCAAATTCCTGGCCCATTAGCCACAAAACCAGGGTAGTTTGCCAAATGAACAGGCCTCTGTCCAGGTGGTAATGTTGGCCCCATCTCACAGTGCTGCCTCCTCGGGATGTGGGAAGGGGAGGGCTGCTGGGCCGGGGGCAGGGAGGGCCTGAGACGCACAGCGAGCGCCGCAGCCAACCGAGCAGATGTCAGCCCCCACACTGGCAGTGCTCCTCTGCCATCGGACCTTTGCCCACAGAGGGTGGGGAGACCCAAGGACGGGAGCATCCGGGGAGTCTCTAAGGTGAACCAAACCAGCTCCAGCCTCCTCCAGGGGTCAGAGCTTCCTGCCACCTCCAGGGACCTGCCCCACCCTGCCCCTAGGTAAAGGCCACATTCCCCACTGCTGTGCCAGATGACACTGCCTCCAGCTTGGCAGCAGGAAGGGGCACAAAAAACTGGACAGAGCCAGGAGAGCCAGGCTGGCCCTGTTCTGACCCAGGCAGCCAGCTAACCACACCCTGAAATCGCTCTCAGCAAACCTGTTCTCCAAAGACCCCACATGACAAACCCTCCAGTGCTGGGTGAGCCATGCAGGGCCAGGAGCCCAGGGTGGGCAGTGCCTGAGGTTGCCGTGGCCCACAGGGCCACAGGGCACCACCTGGGGGTGTTCCCACAGGGTCCCCCCACTCCAAGCCAGGTGTCACCAATCCTGAGGCTGTTTGGGGGGGTGGTATTGCCATAGGTGTTAAATGTGCTGTACTCAGAACTTACTGGTCAGAAATATCTCCTAAAAGGTGTAAATTACTTGATCATCATTTGAAAGAACAGAAGAGGAAGAAATGACATGTCCATGAATGTGGGATTGGCTGAGTAGCTGTGCTTCATCCGCAACATATAATATTCCCGAGCGGTTAAAAACAATGGAGCTGCCCACACACCACCTGGGCAGACAAGCCACCCTCGCCTGTTTTGTTCGTGGGCCGTCTCCTGGTTCCCCTGGCTTGGCTCATTCCTTCCCTGAACCCTCAGAGCCCTATTATGGAGAGGAACTCAGGACACAGGAGGCAAGGTCACTCACCCAAAGTCACCCTAAGGGCGGCAGAGCCAAGATACACGGAGAGGCATTTCTGATTCTGTACCAAACTACCTGTCATTCTGGGCAGTGCTCTGTGCCTGCTTCCCAGGCCAATTTACCCAGCAAGATAGAAAAATTCTTAGAGTGCTACATTAATGAGCAACAAACATTAATTACAGATGTAATGATATGGAGGGCTCCCACACGAATTTCAACTGTCAGCCCTAACTCTACCAGTGCTGACAGGGGGTCCCTAACTTTGCCAGTGCTGATGGGGGGCTCCAATATCCTTCCTCTGGTCTGACTGAGCACTGCTTATGAAGCCCGACCCTGGAAGTTTACAGGTAAGACCACAGTTAGAGAAACAGTGGACGAATCTGAGAATCAGTGCCCAAAACAATAACTGTGTCAGCCCTTCACCCTACTGCTGACCTTCCGACCAGGCCGCACGTCCATGTCCCGGGGCTGCCATCAGACCTCGGCTGAGACAGCGACGACGGGGTGAAGGAAAGGGGCTAGCAGGCTTGGGCACACCCTGGTGGGGGGAGCTGAAGCAGCATCCCAGGGGGTGGGAGTTGCATGGAAGCCTTGGTGCTGCACAGAAGTACCAGTCTAATGGGAGGCACCCCGCTCCACATGGCCAGCTGCTGGTGGAAGATGACTCCCATCCCCAGGTCAGAACCAAGAAATATGTTTATTACTTTAGTGGTGATATTTGTCCCACATTCACTGCCCTATTGCAGCTAAAAGCTCCAACCTCCAAAAGAGGCATGATTCTTCCCACAAAGGCACAGCAGAATGACAGTAAGAGTTTAGGTCAGCTAGCTTATTTGGTAGGCCGAAGTCCTTTCTTCAAATCTATACCCTGCAGGTGATAACAGTGTCTTACTGCACATGTGTCCCTGCACGTGTGGGCATGGAATGCCACTATATCTGGCCTATGCCACATGCTTTTGTTACCCACCTGCAGCTAGTGATAGGAATTTATGACAATGAAGGAAATCCACCAGGCATTGGGAGTTCTGTCCTGGAAGCTCACTCCGTTTGAATGAGACCTCGACTGCCTTAATCAGAGGCCCTTCAACGGGGTACTGTGCCTACTCTAGTAATCCAGTGTGGGACACGAACACGCCAGAGCGCAGAGGAGGGGAAAGCCTGTGCCCACGTAAGGAGTGAAAGCTCCAGCCTGACAGCAAGCCCAGCTGGTGGGGACAGCATGGCTGAAAGATGTCACAGAGCGTTGTTATGCTGTGGGGGATTCAGACTGGAGGCAAAATCTGTTCACACTGTTAGATGAACACAGAGCTGGAAACGGATTTCTCCCCTACCCTGATCTCTTTAAATCACCATGGTCACCATGGTCTCATGGTGCCTCCTCTGCTGAAACCTGTAACTGCTGCTTTGCATGAAAAACAAACACTTCAGGAGAGTCTATGGTACACTACTTTGCAACACTGGGCAGTGGACAGTCACAGCAATAGCCAGTATGTGTGGATCCTACAGAACAAGCCTGAAGTAACTTGGGAATCAGAAAGTTTTCACCTGTTTAAAACTGTCCAAACTGAAAATCCTAAAGCTGTCACGGACTGTGGTCAGAGCAGCACACACAGGTCAGGGAAAGAGTAAAATTACCTCTGACAGCTTGACACACATGTTTTCCTGCCATCCTTCCTCCGGTGGAGACTCTGGGAGGAACACCCAGTCTGCCCCACAGGCCAAGGCACTCACCAGGGCGAGGTACCTACAGGAAACAGCGAGGATTTCTTAAGGCCAGGCAGGTCGTCAGGAGCTGCCCTTCCTGGGAGCGTTCCACTGTAGTGCAGGCTTCTCCAGGCAGCCATGCCCAGGGTCCCCTCCATCTTATCAGTTTACATGTACGTACCCGCAGTGTCTCCCCATAACCTCGAGAACAAAGGTCCTCTGGTGGCTGGAAAAGAGAGAAAGGAAACACCTCCTTACCACCAATAGGAGCAGGCAAAAGACCACCAGTGGAAGCCGAAGAAAAGCAAAGTGCCGTGATGTCACAGTCACGCTAGACAAAAGGCTGCATAGTGGGTCAGGCACCTAAGCTTCCAGAACAGGGCCATTTTCTACAACATCAAATACTATCCTGATGGCATTTCAAACCGTGTGGGCAAAGGGGATTCAGCACTGAGCACACGTTTCAGTTACACTTTCACAGCACATTTGCGTGTCCCTGGACAGACTTCCACTCTGGGACACTCGGCTATGCTCTTTCCACAAACATGGCTCTATTGGCAAAATCAGCTATTTCTCTCCTAAGCCATGGGCTGGAATATCCCGCAGTGCACACGGACAGAAGGTCAGCTTGGTCGGTTCCCAGTGACTCTGGTCACCAGAAAATTCTAAGGGCAGTCTGGGAACATGGAGATGGCATGTGTCCCAGGGGCCCTGGTTTTCCAGGTACCTGACTGGGATAGTCACCTTGGCATTCCCGTCTCCAGCTCCTCACCCATAAAATGGGAGACAGGTTCCATTTACTCTTTCCACAGTTTTCGTGAAAAGGGCTTCAGAAACTCGAGGGCCACAGAGAGGCCTGAGTAATGACTCTGCCCTGAGTCTGCACAGCTGGGAAGACGCCATGGCTTTGTCTGCACTGTGCAGGCCTGCAGGCTGGGGGAACAACAGTGAGGTCAAGCTCACCCACACCCGAACAGGCCCGTGGCCAAGTCCAGCTTACTCTCTGCTATTCCTGCAGGAGACCTGAGGGCACAACTTTAGATAATGAGCACTTTGTCTCCTTTTTTCTAATTTCTCTCCAATATCATATTTTTCTTTTACAATCAGAGTTGGGGGAGAAGACCTCTTAAAGCTGAAAATGAAAGGTATGCCAGGAACAATTTTCTTGCATTGATTTCTAATACTCAGGGGACAACACTTGCATGGAGACACCCATCTGGGGATCCCACCCGAGCCTCGGTGGTATCCACACCTCTGGGCAGTTGTCATGATGGCGTCGATGACCTCGATGATCCTGTGTAGGGCTGAGTCCGTGCCGATAGTCATGTCTGTGCCACAGAAGTCATTGTCAATGGAGCCCACCATGCCCACGACATTGAGGTGTGAGTACTTCTCCACCGCCTCCTTGTTGATCTCACCTACATGGGAAATAAGCCACACTCACTCCAGAACTGGAGTGGTCACCACTCCCAGCCATACACCCCACATATAGGAAGGCCGACCGTGGCAGAGGTCCAGGATGCTAAGCCCCTTTCCATTTACTGTTTCATTTTCTCAGAACGCTATGCAACAAAATTCCATGTGTATGGAAAGAAAAGCCAGACAAAGGTGTCAGTGATGAGGAGCAACGGAAGCTGCCCTTCGACATCTAAGACAGGGCGTGGAACTACAAATGCAAGGGAGGCAAGGGTCCTACACTGCACAGGGGCACAGCCTGGCTCCACCTGCAACCGCCAGAGAATTGCCGGTCGATGAGGACATGCTGTAGCCACGGAATTACCTTCCCAAGGAAGGCTGTACGACGGTCATGCTGATCTGATATGGGCCCATGGGGCTAGTTAGCTGACAGGTATCTGCTTAACCCCATCAACCCGATTGGTTTCGACGGGATCAGAATGCTCAAGGGGGGGCAGCCAGGCTGGGACTCGGGGCTTGTCTACGTCCACGGAGCCTGCCGTAGACCAGATCACAGTGGACAAAGGTGCAGGCCCTCACTGCTTGCACCCGACAGCCACTCAACAGTCATCAGACTGACTTTACAGACTGGGGGCAACTGCTTCATTCAGGTTTATACCTTTTCTGAAGTTGCTATTAGTTCAGGCAACTTGCTTCCACTGGTCATACTTTTTACATTAAACTGGAATGATATAACACCACCTTTAAAAGATAAAAACCACAGGATAGGGTCCTCGAAAATCTCTTCCTACACAGCTCAAAAGAAGGTCAAGGGTGACCTAACAGCAGATGAATCATCATGAAAACTGAAGAACACCTTGAGTTCAGAGACCCTGGGGGAGCTGGGGGGTCCAGCATGCAAATGAGGGGCAGCTGCCAGTGTCCCAGGCAGTGAGCTGGGTCCACCTGCATGGCCGCAGGGCCCTATCCCTCATCTGTAAAATGGGGATAAAGACAAAACGTGTCTCAGATGGTTCTGAGCTCTAAACGAAACTGTGTCACAAGGTGAGTGGTGCCCAACACAGCGGGACCAAGTGTCACTCTCATGACTGTTACTGTTATTTGAGGCACAGATTAAGTCCCCAGGTGGGAATGCTAAGGCCCACCTGCAGCAGCATCAGTGCCTCTGTGGCAGGTAAATGGGCCAGATGTGGGCATCTGAAGCTGCCTGCAGGGAAGAGAAGATGAGGGGGGAGCAGAAAGCCCACAGCCAACACGCACCATTACGGGCCAGCTCTTCCAGCAGCCCGTTCCATTCCTTTCTGAAGATGTTGGCCCCAGTGAGGCTTCCATCTCCGCCGATCACACACAGGTTGGTGATGCCAAGCTGAACCAAGTTCTGAGCAGCTTTCAAGCGGCCTTCCCGAGAGCGGAAGGCTTTGCAACGAGCACTGCCGATGATGGTCCCTCCCTGGAAAAGAGTCAAGCCAGGGTGTTGGTCCCATGATGGACAGGAGGCTGACGGCTCAGCTCATGTGAATGCTGATGTACGTGACTCTCAAAAGCTGAGTCTCCCTTGTCTTAGTGTCTTGAGTAAGTCAGCTGTGAAAGTTTGTAGTTTTCTCATTTTTAGCTCCATCTGGGAATTCAGTGGATAAAGACACAGGCATCACACCCAGGGAACCCAGCAGCGCATGAAAACCAGGACAAATGGCAGCCACTAGCTGGACATGGAGTAGAGAGTCCACAAGACCACAGTCCCCAGGGACCCGTGCAGGATGGGCTGGACCCTGCACCCAGGAGCCCAGGACGGGCCCCATGCTGGTCATCAGCCATGGCCAGAGGGGCAACGTGTCCCGTGGCCCAGGTAACAGGGCCCCTTCTGTCAGTGAGAGGGCACGCGAGCATGCGAGCAGGCAAACCATCTCTCAAAGGGGCTGACCTTTGCATTTCATCCCTCTGACCCACCTGTTCTTAAGAAAACTTAAGTTCATCATCTAAACTTCCAGGGAAGACAAGTCATTATTTTTCACACTTGGTTTCTCAAAAAGGAAGGATTCCTAGTTGTGTTTAGGAAAAGCAGGATTCATTTACATACAAGGTGAATGCACGTATAAAACTCCACTTTGTACAGGATCCTTCCAGCACTTGCTCAATTCATAATTGAGCGCGTCACCAGTGACCCTGTGTTAATGGCAACAGTAAGGAGGACAGCACAGGATGGCAAAGGGGAGCCTGGGCGGAGGTGCCAGGCACAGAGCAAAGACAAGCAGGTTCTCTGGACTTTGCTTTGCCCAGGTGCGATTAGGGGGGTCACGTGATTTCTATTGACTGGCAGTTAAGTCAGCAACCCATGGACACCCAGTAGATAATACAGATAAGTCCTCAGAATGAGATCCAGGCACCGAGCACACACAAGTGTGCACACACATCATGGCCACACCTGTGCTGTTGTCTTTCTGCCCAATGGCAGGGCAGCATGGAAATGCCTTCTCTCACATCGGTTTGCTGCCTGGGATTCAGAGGACACTGTCTGGTTTCCTGCACCTCACTCTCCCTAAGACCTGAAGGTCATCAAACTTTCCTTCTGCCTCCTTCCATAAGAAGCAATGCCAAAGAGGTCCAAGGGCAGAAAGCCAAGTGTGAATGTTAAAGGGACACCCCACTGTCACTCCCAGCTTTCCTGAGCTATAGCTGCACATAACAGCATGCACGCTTAGGTGCACAGCATATGCATTTGATACATGTGTGCGAAGTGGTCACCT